CCCTGTTCACTGTTGGTGAGACTGTAAACTGGTAGAGCCACTATGGAGAATGGTGTATGGATCATTATAAAACTTAAGACTAGAACTACCATCGGATCCCGCAATTCCACTTCCAGGTATCTACCTAAAAAAAGTGACAAAAGACAGTCCAACAGATATAGAGAGTGAAACAGGTCTGCATGCCTGTGTTCAAGCAGCATTATTTGCAATAGGTCAAAGCAGATGCAATCCAAGTGTCTGTCAACAGATGACTGGTTAAAACAAAAACACGGAAAAAAACACAAAAAACTAAAAGCCAACATCCCTCCCACCCACCCCACCAGCACAAACGTAGTATATGCCTACAGGGGATTATTACTTGTGCCTTAAAAAGGAAGGACATTTTGATGCAGGCTGCAGTACGGATGAGTCTTGAAGACATCATGCTCTGTGAAATATGCTCGTCATTAAAGGACAAAGAGTGTATACATGAGGCATGCAGAGTAGACAAGTTCACAGAGACTGCAAGCAAAAAGGTGGCTGCCAGGGGTTGGGAGGAGGTGGGAATGGGGAATAAGCATATAATGGGGGTACAGAGGTTCAGTTTCGAAAGATGAAAAAGTTCTAGAGATGGATGGTGGTGATGGCTGCACAATGGTGGGAATGTATTGGAATGGCACTGCATTTGTACGCCTAAAAATGGTTGAAAACATAATCTTTGCATTACTTATTTTTGTTACAATAAAAAGGTAAAGGCATCAGGAACAAGGCAGGGATACCCACTGTCACCGCTCTTTTTCAACATAGTACTGGAGGTCCTAGCCATGGCAATTGGACAACACAAAGAGATAAAAGGCATCCACATTGGTAAGGAAGAAGTTAAATTGTCACTATTTGCAGAAAACATGATATTATACATAGAAAATCCTAAGGACTCCACCAAAAAACTATTAGAACCAATAACTGAATTCAGCAAAGTTGCAGGATGCAAAATTAATGCACATAAATCTGCCACATTCCTATATGCTAACAACAAATGAGCAGAAAGAGAAATCAGGAAAACAACTTGATTTACCATTGCATAGAAAAGAATAAGATACCTATGAATAAACCTATCCAAGGAGGTGAAAGACCTTTACTCTGAAACTCACGAGAGAAATTAAAGAAGGCACCAACAAATGGAAATCTATCCCATACTCATGGATAGGAAGAATGAATATTGTCAAAATGGCCATCCCACCTAAAGCAATATACAGATTCAATGCAATCCCTATCAAAATACCAACAGCATTTTTCAACAAACTAGAGCAAATCATTCTAAAATTCACATGGAAGCCCAAAAGACCTAGAATAGCCAAAGCAATCCTGAGAAGGAAGAATAAAGTTAGGGGAATTGTGCTCCCCAACTTCAAGCTCTTCTACAAAGCCATAGTAATCAAGACAATTTGGTACTGGCACAAGAACAGACCCATAGATCAATGGAACCAAACAGAGAGCCCAAATATAAACCCACACATATATGGTCGATTAATATGTGATAAATGAGCCATGAATAGGCAATGGGGAAAAGACAGCCTCTTCAACAACTGGTGCTGGCAAAACTGGACAACTATGTGTAAGAGAACAAAACTGGATTATTGTCTGACTCCATACACAAAAGTAAACTTGAAATGGATCAAAGACCTGAATGTAAGTCATGAAACCATGGAACTCTTAGAAGAAAACACAGGCAAAAATCTCTTGGAATATAAACATGAGAAACTTTTTCCTGGACACGTCTCCTCGGGCAAGGGAAACAAAACAAAAAATGAACAAGTGGGACTACACCAAACTAATCCTGTACAGCAAAGGACACCACCAGGAGAACCAAAAGGCATCCTACAGTATGGGAGAATATGTTTTTAATGATTTAGCCAATAAGGGGTTAACATCCAAAATATATAAAGAACGCTTATGCCTCAACACCCAAGAAAAAAATAACCCAATTAAAAAATGGGCAGAATACCCAAACAGACACTTCTCCAGAGAAGAAATGGGGATGGCCAATGGGCACAGGAAAAGATCTCCACCTCCTGCTCCTGCTTATGCTAATCACCAGGGGAAATGCGAACTAAGACCACAGTGAGATACCACTTCACACCTATTAGGATGGGCACTCTCCAAAAGACAAGAAACAACAAATGGTGGTGAGGATGCAGAGAAAGGGAATCCACCCTTATACTGTTGGTGGCAATGTAAATTGGTTCAACTCTGGTGGAAAGCAGGATGGAGGTTCCTCAAAAAAACTAACAATGGAAATACCATTTGACCCAGTAATTCCACTCCTAAGAGTTTACCCAAAGAAAACAAGATCCCTGACTCAAAAAGACATATGCACCTGTATGCTTATTGCTGCACTATTTGCAATAGCCAAGATATGGAAGCAGCAACCTAAGTGTGCATCAATAGATGAATGGGTAGGGAAGACATGGTACATATACACAATGGAATATTATTCAGCCATAAAAAGAAAAGAAATCCTGCCATTTGCAGCAACATGGATGGATCTAGAGGGTATTATGCTCAGCGAAAAAAGCCAGGTGGAGAAAGACAAATACCAAATGACTTCACTCATTTGTGGAGTATGAAAACAAAGCAAAACAGAAGGAACAAAGTACCAGTAGACTCACAGACACTGAGAAGGGACTAGTGGTTACCAAAGGGGAGGGGTTGGGGAGGGTGGGTTGGGAGGGAGAAGGGGATTAAGGGACACTACAGTTCACAATCACAATGTAGGTAGGCCACGGGGATGGTAGCACAGCAGGAGAATGCAATTAGTGACTCTGTAACATCTTGCTAGTTGATAGTGACCGCAATGGAAGGGGTGAGGACTTGATAATATGGGTGAATGTTGAACCACTGTGTTGTGTATGTGAAACCACCATAAGATTGTATATCAATGATACTTTAATAAAAAAGGAAAGAAAAAAAAGAAAAGTGAAAATAAAAAGGCAAAGGAGAATGCTGTCATAAAGACTGATATCTGGAATATATGAAACTCTTCCACAAAGGTGTGAGAAAGTTCACCCTGCCCAACTACAAAATGGTCATGACACCCACATAGGTATGTCATGCAGAGGGAAACTGAAATGGCTGATCAGTGTAAAAAGGAGCTCAATCTCATTAGCCTTCAGAGAAATGCAAACGAGGACCCTCCCCCCACCCCCATGTGATTTTACACCCACTAAAATGGCAATGTTAAGATATCTGATTATCCCTACTACTGGTGAGTTTATGGAACAATCAGAGCTCAAGCTGCTGGTGGAGTCTTAAGCTGGAAACAATATGGCTGTACCCAATACTCACCTAGCCTGTGACCTAGCAATAAAGGCCTAAAGTCCTTTAAACTCCTTGACTCCTTTAGACGCTGCAAAACATATATGCACATGTGCCAGACATTAGCATATTCGTAACATGGCTGCTTTGGTCAAGGCCTCTAAAATGGGATGTATCCAGATGTCCACGGACAAGAAAATGGATGAGTGAATTGAGGAGTGGTTCCACAGTGGCATGTGCTACAGCAGGGACGATGGAAGCACTATGGCTACGTGGAATAATGTAGGTCCAGGTAGTGACACAATGTTGCGTGGAGAAAAGGAAGTGGCAGAAAACTGCACAGAACGTGGTCCAATTTACTGTAATGCCCAGACAAGACAACAGTAGGCATCCATATTTACAAATGCATGCATGTGCCTTTACAAACACCTGGAAAACGGAGGGAGGTGGTTTACAGACAATGCTTAGGGGGATGGTTGTTCCTCTGCGAGGGGCAGTGGTGGGTGGAAAGGACCCCAGGAGGAGATTGACTGGAATTGGTAGATCCTCCTTCATCGGGAAGGTGGAGGCTGAAGCGCCTGTTCCACACTCCCGATTCCTTCTGTGATTTTCCAGAAAGATGATCTGTGAGACATCCCTCAGCAGAGGAACCGGAATCTCCCTGGCCCCAGCTCCCAGCTTCCGCCCGGAGTCAGCAGCATAGTCCCTCCAGAGGGCGTGGCTTGGCAGAGGCCCCGCCTCCCGCATGCGCGCTGTGCCGGCCAAACGGCAACGCTCCATCACTGGCGGCTGGCTCCTGGCTGACGCGAGGCCCTCAGGCAAACATCAGCAAGGGCGCAGTGCAGGCGGGAGGGATGGAGGGAAGGACGGAGAGACAGAGGGCCAGGGATTGGGGTGCAGGGAAGGCCTGGGGGTGGAGTATGTGTGGCGGGGGCAGACCCAGAAGGCTCCTCAGCGAGGCCAGGTGGCTGTGGAGGCAGGCAAGCGGCACTGCGTGGCCATGGTGGGGGTGGTGGGCGGAGTCTCCTTAGGTGTGAGCAGACCAGGGTGTGGAGTGGGGTCGACTAGGCCAACCTCTGAGGTGCTGTCCCCACAGCGTCCTCTGAGGCCCCAACAGGACAGGGCGAGGCCCGTGAGGGCAGGGCCGCCAGGGTGTGGCACGTGTCCGACGTCCCCGCATTCTGTGAGGGTCATGGCGGGTGCAGAGGAGCCGACTGCGTCCGTTTCCTGCCCAGCCACCCAGTGGGATGCTTCCGTCCCCAGGGGTCGTTCTGGGGTCCAGATGGTGGCATGTGGGGAAGCCCTCCGACCTTACTGCCCCCAGGCAGGAGCAGAACGGTTTATACCCCACCCATACGGAGGGACACTTATTTTTGTCATGGCCACGGTCGGGCCCCCAGACCGGCCCTTTGTCCCTTGGGGATCGAGGGGCAGGGGTGGCCTCAGTCCCAGCACAGGGGTAAGAATCTGGCACAGGGGCCTGACACTCAGATGTCCCAGGGCAGGTGCCAGCCCTCTGTTGCAGCCTCGGGGAGTGGGTGGGGTGCTGGAGGAAGAGGCCGCCGTCACCATCTGCTTTGTCCGCTCCTGGTCCAAGGGGAGCCACGAGGACACGCACAGTCTGATCTGCGCCCCGGGCCGATGCCCAACATCCCGCACTGACCATGTCCCCATTCCTTTAACGTGTGCTTGCTTGTGCCCACAAGGTGCAGGACAAGTTGTTTCTACCACGGAAGATACCTCCAGGTGATGCCAGGTGGGAGGAAGCACCTGAAGAAAGCTGAGAAGGCCTCGAGGGAGGCTGAGGACATGGCAGCCTCTGACTCTGGCATGCAAGAGTGGAGAGAGCTCATAGGGCTGGAGGATGTCCCCGAAGGTACCGTCTATCTGACACCTTTGCCGGTACAGCACGCAGCGCAGGGATGGTGCCCCTGGGGTCACTGCTTCTGAGTCCTCCACATTGTAAACAGCAAAATCCATGTGTGTGGAAAGCAGTTTCATGTGCTGGAGGTCGCCCACCAGTTGCTCTATCCTCCCATTCCCGACCAGGATCACAGAAGCTGATACAGAAGCTTCTTGATTACAAGAGCTGATTACAGAAGCAGCTCTTCTGGCCGTCCGCAGTCGTTCTTTCTAAAAAATATCACAGGTGTGCTCTGTGGTTTATTCTGACATCACCCCTGAAAATGCTTGTAATAGTGTCTCCAGTGACATGGTCCTGGTCCCTGATCCTTTTTCATCTGACCTGCACACGCATGATTCCTTTCACATGTCTGCTTTAGAAACGTCTGTTTGCAAACAGCCTAAAAGCCTCCACAAGGGAGATATTCCTCCATGAAAACTGACTACCATGCCCTGCTTCATTTTATAATGTTTTCCACTTTTATTTCAATGCAGGGAACTCTCCAGTAACTGATGAACACGGGCAAAATGGGCCGTTTGAGGATACAGATGAGGAAGAAGATACAGGGTTATGTTTGTACAGTGTTTTCACCTGCTAGATTCAACTCAACTTGGCTCACAGAAGAAGTTTTCTCTGTAAAATCCTAGAATGACACAATTTCTTTCAAAACAAGTACCATCTATTTTCATGTCGTTACTTAATTATATTTGATGTCACTTCTCCACAGGGATGAAGTACAGAAGGATCTGGAAAGTCTTGCAGGTATGTTTAGGTGATATGTGTGGTTAAAGACAATTGTTTAGAACATTCAACTTTTATAAAGGGAATTGTTAAGTAGTGGGCCACAGGACTGGTTCTAATGCCTTTTTCTCATATATAGGGTTTCATACAAGCATTTAGTGTGATTTGAGTTCATAGGTTTCCTTACTCACCTTTTGAATTGTTGATGTGGAAAGTGAAAACGGTACTAACAATGATGGGGTCAGAATGATGGTATTATTTTATGCACATGTACATTTAATGTACTGTGTTAGAATATTGATGAGAAAAGTGTGCCCTGTTTTGTGTGCACAGATGAGGTGAGGTATCAATTTTTGATGCCAATTTTAAATTCTCTTAATTTAGTTACTTGTCATGACTTTCCAATGTTCCTTTCTATGCAGTAGCTGTGTAAATTGAATCCTCTAAGGTAACCGTCTGTTGTGATTTTTACTCTAGTAAACTGTGTAGTGGAAAACTGAAGGCGACACTCCCAGCTAGTGAGAGAAGTATAATCAGATCCCCCAAATTCTAAATTTTATATTGTCCTGTCAGGTGTCAGTTATACTATCCGTGGACAATACACTGAACAAAGAGTCAGAGTCAGTTGGTGGTTCTTTGATAGGGACCATCCTTACAAGCAAGTATGATTTGAAAGCTTTGCTCTATTTGGTAATGAGAAAATAGAGTGTTTTGTGAGTGTTTGATAAACTGTTTGTTGTGGGTGGATTCTGTATGTATGAAATATTTTTGTTATAGCACAGATCCTTTGCAATTACTGGAAAACAGCTATTGGTCATATATTCATAAATTCAAATCATCTGCTTTGCAAAGCTTTATTTGAAGTTGTTGTGAAGTGCAACACCTAGGGATAAAAGTGTTATGTAAAAACCTCTATGAAAGTTTTTTTTGAACGTTCTTGAATTTATTTGTTTAACCTAGACCTTTTACAACCATGGCTTTTGTCTCTTTTAGTGAAATGCTTTTTGTTAAAAGCATCACTGCCGAGATCGTTTGAGAAATAATTTTCTCAGTGTGTGATAGGATTATCCTTACTTTTTTATCCTTTTGAGGGATATTTTTAAGAAAATACTTTTGTGCATTTGACCTGATGTGCTCTAGTAGTAATCCATTAATCCATCTAAACATGTCCCTGAGTTGCAGGATATTTTATAATTTTCAAAAAATTTGTCTGTCAACCATTTTCTCCCAAGGGAAATTAAAGTTTGTCTTTGAGGTCCTTTATATACATTTTGACAATGGAAAATATTTTCATTTTTATCCCCTTTTCATTATCTCTAAATTAGAAGGTGATCTGCAGATAGAGAAGTTAGAAATGGGATATAGGTTCTGGAATTATTTTACGGAAAAGAGTCAGCAAATCTTGCTTTTTGAAATGGTGACCATATTATAAATTTTATATTTTTACTATTTGGAGCATAATTCTCATACAATGTTATATTAGTTTCAGGTGTACAGCATAGTGATTCTACACTTACAATGCCTGTGTTATAAATTTTAAATGTCTTTGTATATTGCTGAGGCAACATGTACCCACATTGATTTGAAAATATGGGAGCAAAATAATTTTCAACATTAACTTTTAATGAATATCTATTTCCTATATAGTTGAAATTAAGCAGGCTTTGCATGCAAAGAGAAGTTTGAAACGATTGCTAAAGCTTCTATCAAAGCCACTAACAAAAAAATTGAGCAAGTTTGGAAAATACAACAAGAATGAAGGTAAAGTTGGTGTTTTGAGCCACGAGGACTTTTGTATCAGTTTTTAGCATTCATTGGTGCAAATTATTTAAGACAAGTACTATTATATTGCATTTTCCAGTGAAAGATATATTTTGCTTGATTTTTTTTCTAAGCAGATAAACTCTTTAGTTCTGGAACCTCACTCCTTGAATGAATTGAGATATATTTCCTAGAAGCCCATAAGGATGACCTTTCTTCCCTTTCAAATACCAATTGAGCTTTCTTTCTATAAAATTAATTTATGTTCAGTCTAGACCTACACTGGCTGAACCTAAGGTAAAGGTCTTAAATAAGCATTGTTCCTGTGATAAATAGCTGTATTCAACTGTGTGGGAAATGTTAATCTTATATTATAAATAATTTGTACATTTTAGCTGAATTGTGCCCACTGCTTTGTTTTTTTCAAAGGCTTTGTTGTGCCACAGAGGGGAAATGTTTAAGTGAAATATTCCTGTTTGGAAATCTATGATAAATGGGTATAGTATCCTCATTGGTTTACTTATCATATCAGAACGTATATGTTGTCAGTAAGAAGAAATGAAAAGTAAACTGCTCTTAGAGAAAATGAACTCTTCTGGAAAATTTAGAGTGCAGTAAATCCTCATTAGTTTTCAAGAGTTGAATGAAGCCTGTGAGATAGTGTTATTCAGTTAGGAATGATACTTTTGGAATAAGAGTAATTCATTCATTTAATCTTTCTGTTTCCCATGAGACTATTTCAGCTGCAACTCCGCTGTCACTGACTTCTCCTGTTATGGTGTAAAGTGTGTCAAATCAGTTTTGTTTTGAGTAAGGCTAATTTTTTCATATCTTTAGGAAGTATGACAGTGCTCATTATTATGTTTTACAGTCAGACTCTTCATCTCAAATATGCTCAGCACTTACAGCCTTTCCTTCAGGAGTGGGATACAGATATGCAGAAACTCCAGGAACAAGAAGAAAAACTAGATGTTGGTGTCAGCCTTCGCTTTAAAATTAGTTAATTTATTGTGTCCAAGTCTCAAGTAGGGAGTAGCTCATGCAAAAATGCAGGAGAGAAGGTAGATTCCATGAGCACAGATGGGTAAAGTTGTGTAGAAGATGTAGCGATGGGAGACTGAACGTACTCCTCGGATTGCTTCTGTTTATTTAGTGAAATAGTGAGGCCACCAGTTAGGAGTTAGGGTGGTGGAGGAGGAGGTGTTGCCTTTTGGGGGCAGGGAAGAAGGCCTGGAATTGTGTCCTGAGAGAGGACCAGTGAATGAACTAAGGAAATAGCATTGCCACGGAGCATTAGGGGCCCGGCTGAGGTTAGTGTCATAGTGATCATGAATGTAAAGTGAGACCACTCTTGCATGGCTGTGGCAGAGCAGCTGGAGAGCTGAATTTTCCAGGGTAGGAGTTTAGCCACGCAGACTGACAAAGTGAAAAGGGGGCAAGGGTCTTGTGCAAGGGCGTAGGTGTAACGATTGACCATGGAATTGAAGCTGGGGAGGAGGAAACGTGAGGACATGAGAGTCGGGGTGGGGAAGGTGAAAGATTTGATAACCATTAGATGTTAATCCTGACAGAGTAGTGAACTATAGTAAGAAAGGGAGTGAACTACAAACAGGGAGATAGAGGTTGGATGTTGGGGGAAAATGCTGAAAAAAAATGCAGTGTAGTAGTACAGCGGTCAAGAGCCTGGACTCTGGAACCATAATGTTTGGGGTCCAATTGCGGTTGACCAGTGCTAGCTGTGAAAGCAGGGACACGTTTTCATCTCTGTACCTCAGTTTCCTCACCTATGAAAGGGGACACAATAAGAGTACCTACCTCATAGAGTCATTTTGAGCATTAAATGAGATCATACATAATAAGTTTATTTAAAGTAGTTTAGAACAGTACCTAACACACAGTTCCTATATAAGTCTTTGCTCTTATTAATATTATGTAGATGCTGCCATTTTGGGACATGACAGAGTCTGGGGTATGACTATGTACGTGAAAGGCTAACGCTGGGAAGAGGGCAAAATTATTGTTGGAGGCTAGGTCAAGGAACAGAAAGGCCAGCACTATTGAAGGGGCCATCTGTGTACATATTGAAATGACCAAGAATTAAAGCATGTTTTGAATATTGTTAAGAAGGAATATTTCCTCCATGCTTACCGTTAAGAAGGATTGTCATAGAGCTTTTGCCCACTAGTGGTAAACACATTATTGGCAGGGCCATTTGTGAATTTTGAGATAAAGAATTAAAGCATGTTTTCCATATTGGTAAGAAAGAAAAACTGCCTATTCAATGGCCATTAGGTAGGATTATTATATTGTTTTTGTGTATTAGTGGTGAGCACACAATTATCTTAACTGGGTCATAAAAGTTCTTAAAGAGGAAATGTTAACAAATGTTGATTTAAAGAGTATACCTTTTAAGCTTAATGTACAATTGTTATCTAAATATTAAATGTTAGCCACACTTTATCACTTTTTTTCTTTTATATTTGCATAATCTGTTTCAAGAGCAATGGAAGCTTCTTCAACAAGCTGGAATTGTTCAGATCCAGAAACTGAAAAAAACTGTAAACATACATGAACTATTGTTAAAGGTCTGCTGTATTTGGTAGCATAATAAATTTTTATAAAACAATGTACATATAAATGTTGAAGATTGTTTCTTTCTGAGTCTATGGGAAAAGACATTCAGACTGTACATGTAAATGGTTAACCACTTTCCATTTTGAATCCATTGTTCTGGATTTAACATAATTCTGAAATTTATTTTTATTTTTAGGATTCGTTAATAGTCTTGTAGCAGTCATTTAAAACAGGGAACCATTAACTAGGAGTTTTACCTAGAAGTATACGTATCATGAAGAAAATTGATACTTCGATTGACACTTTGATCATGACTTTTTGTTCAGAAATCAGTTTTTAGGAGATCAGTGATATCTATCTATCTATCTATCTATAGATAGATATAGTAGAAAATAGGATGTCTATAAATCATTCCTGGAGGTCTTTTACTTGTATTAACAGTTATTGTTAAATATGAAGTAGGTCATCGTAATTAGTGAAGGCTGCTTTTATATTCAAGTGTTAATATTTGCTTTTAGAACATTAATGACCATTAATGACTTTCTATGCAAACTTATAACCCTAAGAGAAGGTTGAAATGTGTAACAGAAGGAAAAAGCCAGAGGAGGGCTAAAGGTTTGTGAATTGACAATGATCCGTGACGTTTGCACATTAGCAAATTGTGCTGAGTGACACTTTGCGCAGATGTATATACTTATTCACGAGGTGATGGAATCCTATACGTTCCCTTTCTTTTCTTTTTCTTTTTGGTGGGGGTGGGGTGGGAAGGTGTTCTTTTTACTGATTGCCTTGTTCAAATGCATGTTAATATGTCACTCTTATTAAACTACTTGAGTTGGTGTAAGTAAACTAGCAAAAGAGTTTTGAAATAAATATTCTTTAAAGGATTTCAGAATTTTGTATATACAAAATACTTAGCTTAAAATTGTTTCCAAGTAGAGAACAAGTGTTGCTCTAATGCTCCTTGAGAACCATTTATTAATTGGTGTGAAGATTTGATAAAGTACCAAAGAAGAATTCTTCCAAAGGTTATTACCAAATGCCAGCACTCAGAGAATGAACTGTTTAGTATTGTCTTTGACTCCTCCGAGTCCTGTATCCTTCCCATCCAGTTATGACCAGGCCCTGCAGTGTTTACCTCTGCACCTGTACTTGAGCTGCTTTCTTTGAACTCCCACTGCCGCTGACCCAGTTCAGGACCTCATCATTCTCTGCTGGTTCTACTAAAACTCTTATCTGATTGTTCTCTTCTCTATTCCACCCTTCACAGTTCTGCAATATGATCTTCTAGAATGTACGCCTTCCCTCCTGAAAACCTGCCATTAGCTGCCCATTTTAAATTCTCAGGTATTCAACATGTGCCCCATAACAAGACTCCCTTCGTACTCTCAATGCTTACACCCCTTCTTCCCTCCCAGGCCTCCAGATGAGTTGCTTTCTCTGAACTAACCTACCATTACTTCCTTGCTTTGCTTATGCTCCGCCCCTAGAATACTTTCCAGTTCCCCTTTTCTTTATCTGCTGAAATCGTATTCTTTAGCCAATAAATCAGAATCAGCCTTACTTCCCACTACGTAGTCACAGCCAGTTGTTTCCTTAACTGTCAAAGTTTTCATGTCATTTTTACTTACATGTTATCTATTCTCACTGGAACAAGGAAGAGGCTGTGTATTCATTTTCAGATTCCTCCACAGCATTTAACAGAGTCCTTTTTATATAGGACACACTAGATCACTATTTGTGGAATGAGTAGTAGAGAGTTAGAACAGGAGTTTGTTTTTCATGACTTAAAAATGTCATTATTACAGATCATTTTGTTCCCTCCAATGGAGGGAATAAATAGATTATTAGCCATTATAAGTGCGTTGGTTGTTACCTGATGTTTAGAAAACCTGATAAAGAGCTTTGAAGTCACAGTGTTTCATTCTGTGGGACTGTCAGTGTCTTTCTTTCTTTGCTCCACCTTCACCTTAACTGTTCATTAACCTGCTGTTTCGAGAAAGTGTACTACTGTTGTGCCTCTATGATAATAATACTTGACTCAAATGTGACATTTAAAAAGTTTCTTAAGTGGGCATTTTGATCTGCATGTATTAGTTATAATACATTTGTTTAGAATAAGTAATGCACATCCTTTGGATACTAAGAGTGGTTAGTTTTGAAGTTTAATTGTACATATTTAGAATGTGAGATGAAAAGTGGTAGTTTGTAACTGAGCTAAGCTTTTTTTTTCAGACTATGGAGGACTTAGAGAAGGATCATGAGCATCTTCTTGCTAGTGAACAAGGTGAAATTAGAGAAGAAATGGATAAGTTTAAAAACAATATTCTTATGGAAATTGTAAGTACTATATATTTAATATTAAGAACTAAGGAAGGACGTGAGACTTGGGGTATTTTGTTTGCTGAAATACATATAACAATTACCAAAATAATGTGCAAACGTTTAATATTTACTTTCCTGAAACAGCAAGAGTTTGAGCTGGCAGTTGCTCAGTTGTTTCTTCTACTCTTGTTAATGAGTTGACTTTGAAGATAGAACTGGAACCTAGTTTATATGACACACATGTACCATCTGCTACACTGAACCACATTATAGTGCTTTAAAGGTTTCTAGTTGAAGTCTGCACATCTTGTTCATCGTAGCTTGTCTGTTAAGTTGCAAAACCCCCTTTCTGTGTAAAAAAAACCTCAAAAAACCTGAACAGTGTATGGGTAACAGAACTCCCCAGTTATATGTATCAAGCTTTCAGCCCTTTGTTAGTAGTGACTTTTTCTTTTTTTGAGCAGGCATCTCTCATATTTATTGATCAAATGGTTGTTAACAACAATAAAATTCTGTATAGGGGACTCAATGCACAATCATTAATCCACCCCAAGCCTAATTCTCAACAGTCTCCAATCTTGAAGCATAACAAAAAAGTTCTTACATGGTGAACAAGTTCTTACATAGTGAATAAGTTCTTACATGGTGAACAGTGCAAGGGCAGTCATATCACAGACACTTTCGGTTTTGATCACGCATCATGAACTATAAACAATCAGGTCAAATATGATTATTCATTTGATTTTTATACTTGATTTATAT